GTAGAAAAAAAGAAATGAAAAGAATTATTAAATGTTAATTAAAGAAAACATTAGAATACTATATTAATAGTTACTATGATAATTTTTAATATCGTATAATCTATACTTTTACTAAAAGTGAATTCGAATCACTTTCGAGTTATATGAATATTTAATTGAATATTGTGTTAATACAGCATGTATCAAAATATGTCAACAGTTTTAATATTAAAAAGTAGTAGCATTAAAATCTTATTTTATACTAAATTATTATGTCATATTTTAATTTACATTAGGAATACCTTGAATACCGATTTATCAGTAAATTATTATACTGTGCAAGAGGGTTAAAAGAAATTTAAATTTCCCGCAATTCTCACAACTATACATCCTATAACTTTGCGTGGGTCATACATGAACAGACCTGTTATTTATTTTTATCGGTTATCTAGACATATTTTTGTTGCGTATATTACTCGTTTAATGTCGGTTTATTAGCGGTATAGAATTATTTGTGAATTTATATTAGTATTTTTATAAGTTGTGAAGTAATGTACTTATAAACTTGAACTTATTTTTAAAAGTTAAAAGACTTTTTAGTTAATAGTGATGTGAAATGATGTGAATCGTGCAAGTACTTAGTATACTGAAAATCGTTAGTATTGTTTAGTAATAGTTTAAGGTTAAACGCTGAACAATGAATTAAATTAAGTGATCAGTATTTGTTGAAGAATAGTATTTGAGATTCAACAATGAAAATATAATGTATTAGGGAAAATATGTCCTGTGAGTCCTTTAAAGATCGACAGGAAAACGAACTCGAGGTTTTAAAGGTGCGTCATATATACATATACTAAAATTTGTTTACATTAAAGTTGCATGTTTTTATCATCCTAATGAAACATGTACATTTATTTCTCTAAATAATAATGTGCATAATTCTTAAAATTTTTTCCCTTAATATAATTATTCAGCTTTTTGTGAGAAAATTGACATGTTTTATAATCAATAAATGAAATTGCTAATATAAAAACCTATAAAATGTAATTTTGTAATTTTTTTATCTGTGTGTAATATGAGTTATTTTTTTTTAAATTAAAAGGTACAATAAGCATATACGTGTACATACAATATGTATATCGTTATATAAGTAAAGCATGCATGTGTGCATGATAGAGTAAATGAAATTTTAATATTAACATAAATGCTAAATGGTGTAATATGGATAACATATTTCATGAATAAAAATAACAAATATATGTTATATAAACATAAAGTTATAAATGTTTCATTATAAAATTATAGAAGTATGAA